CTCTTGATCTCAGGGTTGTTAGGGCAGGCCCCAGACTGCGTGTGGAGCCTACTGAAAAAAAGACAAAAAAAATCAGAGATGCTAATTCTTCCAGCCGCTTGATTTTGTTTGAGCCTCTAAAGCATGCTGTCCATCCCTCAAATCCTACTTTTCCTACAATTCTACTTTATACTGCTTTATTTCCCTACTAAAATATAGTAAAGAGTATACACTAAAGTATAGTAAAGAGGATATTCAGAGTGAAGAGATAGCTCATCTCTGTCCCTGGAAGCACCTACAACAGTTCTTTGCAAAAAGCACTACATAGACATTTTTACATTTAATTATTAAGTACACAAAATGGCTCTTTTAAAAATTTAGTTGTTTCCGTATCAAGTCTCCATACCTTGCATAATCAAGAAATATTAAAGACCCAGAAATTAAACTAAAATCAGTAAGAGCCGCAGCCAACAAAATCTGTTAAAACGAACCTAGTCCTAACACGAAGGACAGATACTTTTTATCATCCTCTTGTCTCAGAAACTAAAGATTGGTGGCTCAGAAAATAAACTGCACAGCATGCGAATATGAAAATCAATACTGAATAAACACCGGCATCATCTAAAGACATATCTTACGCAGTGATTTAGCTCAGCACGAAATCAGATACCTCTTAGCCACCTGAGAAGACATACAGAAATTTCTTTCTGGACATCTGCTGTTATGAGAGTCCTATGGTTTAATATAGCTTAACAGTTTAATAGAGTTATTGTTCTGTAATTTAATTTAGTTACCAGTTTTAACTAATAAAATAGTTATTTTAGAGACCAGATTCTCCATACATGAAAAAGTTAAAAATCAGTAATTGCCAAGTTAAAAAAATTCCACCAGGAAATGACTTAAATGGTAGGCAGCATTCACCTTCAGACAAAATATCCCATTTTGGAGGGCAACATTAATTTTTTCAGCATCTTTTAAACACTAAGCCTCTATTTCAACATGGACATGGTACTTTAATACACATTCAATTTTCATAATTCTTTCCTCAACTCAAATGTTTCAACCAAGACTTCAGGCATGTGAGATTGATCACTGAACACTAATTCCAGCTGCCCCATCAAGAGAACCTGAGTCGATGTCTGGTTAATTGTATGTGTCCGTTTACTAGCCGGGGGTGCTGAGATGACATTATTTCTAGGTGTGTCTGGGAGGATGTTTCTGGTCATGATTAGCATTTGCCTCAGTGGGCTCAGTAAGTTGTGCTCCTCAGTGTGGGTGAGCATCTCTTGATCAGCTGAGAACCTAAATGGAACAAAAGGGAGATGAAGAAGGAATTGATCCTTTTCTCCTGCCTCATACTGGGATTCATACCATTGATTCCTCTGGTTCTCAGGCCTTCAGATTCAGACTGAACTTTGACCACTGGCCTTCCTGGGTCTCCAGCCTTCAAGGCAGACTGTGGGATTTCTTAGCCTCCATGAAGACATGAGCCAATTTCTCATAATTAAAAAGAATGTATGTTTTTACATATACATACATCTCTTGGTTCTATTTCTCTGAAAAACCCTAATACAGTGTACATACAGGTATTTTATCTGGTACTTTCCTCAACATATCTCACCAAATACCAAAAGGAAATACATATCCTTTAAAATATTCATTTAAAAAGTTAAAGAAAAAAAAAAGAAATATCGATTACTGCCATGATATAAAATGGTGACATTTACTGAAAATTTCTAAAATCCTTCAAGAATAAGCAATTATTTGATCAGACAACAGAAATTTTCCTGGGAAATATAGTTTTAGTATATTAGTATCAGAACAACTTATGTAACTGCTTTCAAGCAGAAGTTCACCTTGGGTTATTTTCAGACCACAATTACAGGTGTTCAAAGTCCCACTGGTTCCTTCTTAACAGTCTCCTAAGTGCTGGAACTGATATACTTCAACAATAATTTCTCTAGGGGGTCTGCTAAAAAAAAAAAAAAAAAAAAAAAAAAAAAAAACAGAAACAAACCAAAAAAAACAGGCAAAAACCACATGAAAGCCAAATAATGATGATGTATTTGGACATGGGCTGCAGCTACCCAACTGTATCAACTGGAAAGTTTATAAATAAGCACAGTGTGAGGGATTGAGCACTGCACAAACTATGAGCTATCAATGTGAACCTTTCCACGGCTTCCTCTGGTCAGCCAACATCACTTTCATCCACTTCACCTTGTTATAAGTGAGTAAAGTTCAAGAAATGCTTAAGCAAAAAGAAAGACAAGTGATTTTTGCTTACCATCTCATTTTTTTATTACCAGCTTCTAATGTTTTTTTCATAATATGAACAGCTATTAATTAACAGAAGGGTTTATTTCTTTTTATATTTCATGTAAAGCTTCAGAGAGACGACCAGGATATCATCTTTATTCAGTACCTCTTACACCTGAAAAAGGCTTAAGTAAAACTAATTAAAATATCTAGGAACTTAGTTGTGTCGATACTAGGCTAACTGAAAGGTCATTTAAATGAAAAGTTGTTTTTTTTTTTAATTTACCTAGGATTCTAAGACATACAAGAAACCAAGAAATCACACTTTCTCTGAAATTATACATTATATACATATTGCAAAAATATTAAAAATTAAATAATTTAAAATTGAATTAAATACATGACTACATATAATAAATTTAGGAACTGAGAGTTTCAAAAAAACACAAAAAACTGCCCAAATAAAGTTCTAGATTTTTTAAAACAATAATGTCTGTTATTTGTTATCTAAAAGCCAATATACTTATTTGGTAGCTATTAAAATAGGTGCATTTACAGAGGGTTTTTAAGGCAGTGAAACTACTCTCTATGATGCTAGAGTGGTGGATATATGAATTATGCACTGGTCGAAACTCACAGAATGGACAATACCATGAGTGAACCTTAATGTAAGCTACAGACTTTGGGTGATAATGCTGTGTCAGTATAGATTCATTGATTTTAAACAAATGTTATCACACTGGTGGGAGATGTTGATATGGGGGAGGCTGTGTGTATGAGGGGGGAAAGGGTATCTGGGAACTCTCTGTACTTCCTTCCTCTCAATTTTGCTGTGAACCTAAAATTGCTCTAAAAAATAGTCATTTGCCTCAAAGATTAAAAACACTACCATACAAGGTGATTTCTCTTGAAAGTTCATGTGAATACTGACCAATATAGCATTTTTCACAAATCTAAGAAAAAAAATTATTTCCAAATGCAGTGTTAGAGAGTCCCTGTCAGCAGTATAACATAAACTCTAGGGAATGGAAACAAAGGACAAGTAAACTATGCATATTTTGTGCCTTGCAAACACGGTACCTAGGAAAAGAGGAATTGTTCATTTGAGAAAATCCTAATGAGATACAGAGAACATAAGAACTAGAATGAAGAGTGTATGCAGAAGCTATACCAAAGTATCTTCTAGCCTAACATCACCATCTATCTCTTGGCATCTGTAGAACATGGTAAGACAGAAAGAAAAATGAAAGATCATCATTACAGAGCACTTGGTCCACTCATTAGCAAAACTAAAGTTGGACTTTCTAAGGCCAACAATGGCATTATCTGTTTCTCCAAACAGCTGTTCTTTTTGGCCATAGCTTGTATAGCCAACTAACCTGACATTATGCCCACATAATGACTTTTTTTTTAAGATTTTATTTATTTATTTGACAGAGAGGGATCACAAGTAGGCAGTGGGGGTGGGGGGGAAGCAGGCTTCCTGCCGAGCAGAGATGATGCGGACCTTGATCCTAGGACCCTAAGATCGTGACCTGAGCTGAAGGCAGAGGCTTAACCCACTGAGCCACCCAGGCGCCCCAACATGCTGACTTTTAGTGAGTACCTGAGAGAAACTGCTATAGAAAATATTAGCAGGGCACCTGGGTAGCTCAGTTGGTCAAGCATCTGACTCTTGATTTCAGCTCAGGTCATGATCTCAGGATTATGAGATTGAGCCCCACAATGGTTTTCCTGTTGGGTGTGTTATCTGCTTCAGATTCTCTCTCTCCCCCTCTGCCCCTCCCCACAAAACAAAACAGAAAAACAAAGAGAGAATATTTACTATAATATGACTTCTTTAAAAACATGGGGGAAATAATGTGGATTACAGAACAAGTAGCTTATGTTTAAAAAAACTAAAAAGAAGGAAATGATTATCATAAAATATTGAACTTGCTAATTAAGCTATTTAATCTGCAATTAGCAGAATTAGGATGGATAATACAGATGATAATCTTACTCCAAATCCAATGAAAACAAAGGGTAAAATATTTGAGAGAGGAAAACATATGGCAAAATGTGTATATACTAGGTTTCCAATCGAACTTCAACCTTCTGGTGTTTTCATTTATTCTTGCCAAACTGCAGTGTTTTATATATTTGAAGTTTCTTGGAGATAAATAATTTACAAAGTGGCAATATGATGCCTTATGGGTAAGAAATTAGAAAAACAGGGCACAAATTTTCCCCAAATACAGAAGAGCTGGAAGTGATTTAATTCATTTTTGCTTTCTGAGAGAAAATACATAGCAAGAGGTAAACAGTGGAGTCAAGGTCTAATCAGTAACGATCAGCACTGAAATAGTCAGCAGTAAAGTCTTCTACATTCTAATAGTGTTAACAGAGATTTGATATACCAGATTTTTAATATCTAGGTAAAGCTTTAAAAAAAAAACCCATAAACATAATATAGCAATAACTACCTATGGTTGAAATTCTCATTGATTGTGTAATTTATCTACTTGCCCTAGCATACTACTCTTTTACTGTATATTTTGGCAAGTTTTAAAACACTCCCTTTATTTTGGATATTTGATATAATTCATCCCATTTTTTATATCAAATTTAATTTTCCATAAGATCCATCAACTATTATAATTACGACCTCCATAAATACATTAACAAGTATATTGATCTGTCTCTTCTCATTGGTACCAAATTGAAATCGTAAGTCTTCTAAAACAATGTCAAGTTCTTCACCAAATTAACGTGTCATGTCTTCAAGATGGGTTTAATTTGTGCCACTTGATAACAACCTTTTCTGGATTTGTAACTGTTTCTTTCCACTGATTTGCTGCTTCAGTGTGATTACTGTCTTCACTTATCCAAACCTGTAAAGGAACAGGACAATCATTTAACTTAACACGAGAATGGCAACTAAATTCAAACAGTTAATTCCTCTTACTGACGAAAGGCAAGTGGAAGTTTGGTTCACATATTTTCTTTCTTTCTTTTTTTTTTTTTTAAAGACTTTATTTATTTGAGAGATCACAAGTAGGCAGAGAGGCAGGGAGAGAGAGAGAGGAAGGCAAGCAGACTCCCCACTGAGCAGAGAGCCCAACGTGGGGCATTGATCCCAGTACCCTGGGATCATGACGCGAGCCGAAGGCAGAGGCTTTAACCCACTGAGCCACCCAGGCACCCCTGGTTCACATATTTTCAATCAAACGATCTTTCCATTTTTCCAAATATATGTCAAAACACCTAACCTGTTTAGTCACTCTGAAGACTAATGTTATATGATCCAATCCAACTTCAAAATTTAATGTGAGATATTCTAAAATCATTTCTCCCAAAACAGTAATTAGTATCCTTGGTTATTCAGTATATCTAGAAGCTCAACTTAGAATTCATCCTAACCATTCAAAATCATTTTTGTGAAAATAAACAGAGACTAATCATGATTTAAGTTAAACTGGTAAGAAATACACATTTTTAAGCACATTTTAAGCTGTGATTTTAACTGAAATCAAAACTGTAACTTTAGGTAATAGATATGAATAAACTTGAGAAAAGTTCAGAGCACTATGCAGATATAAGACTTCACACCTACCTAGAGGAAAAGGGGACAAGGAATTCGAAGCCTGAATGCTAACCTCAGCTTTAGCAGTAACAGGAATTAACTTCTCTGAGACTCAGTTTCTAATTCTTTTAAATAAAGAAATTGGAGCAGGTCACTGATTTTCAAAACTTTTCCCCTTAATTTCCTGGTTAGAAGTATTTTTCCTTCAAATAAAATCCTACAAAGAACCTAATATATGAAACAGGTAACACCAGCGTTCTTTGGCTGACATCAAGAGACTCTGAGACTACATTTGGTTCCCCCACCACGGTGGCTCCCGAGAACCCAAGAGAAGCCACAGGAACAGATGGAAAGCAAGAGCTCTTCCAGAATTGTAATTCTTAACTAGACTCTCAACCAAGAAAGTGGAATCACCAAAAAAGTTATCATGAAAATCACCTGTCAAGGAAATCTCCCATTCCACCCATACATGATAGCTGGGGATTGAGGATATAGGAAAACTTTAACTGAATGCACTTTATAGGCCTCAAGGCCTTGAAAGTATGCTATATATATGAATTCTTGAGTCCAAACTCCTTCCAAAATAGGAATAAATGAAGAACAACAAAACCATAATTTTTTTTTAACGAAGATTTTAGGTAAAATGCATGAAGAAGTGAGTCAAAGAATTAATATCAATCTTTGAATATTCACATATCATTTTAGGATTTCACACAGACTGCTAATAACATCTTGTTATCAAGCAGAAGCTTTTAAACCAATGATGTAGATTTTGGAATTTAAATGGGAGTAAAACAATCATTATTAAGATAAAAGATAATGGACAGCTACCATTAATCTACTCAGAGTAAAATAAACTACAAAAGAAGTAAGTCCCCATTGGACTGGCAAGTAAGTGTTATTGTCTTCCACAGATTTCAAGAATTTTTAAACAGAGTAATCCAAACACCAAAATCAACTATCTAAATACCATCACAACCACTGCCAAAACTAATGTTTTCTAGGAATCTGAATCTAACATAATTCAGTTAATAGCATACAGAGTTAAACACTAAACTGAACATGAAACAGAATGAAGTAAGTTGGCCATCTGCAGCCTTAAAATTTTTGATTTAAATACTTAGTGAATGTACAAATCAGAGAGAGAGAGAGAGAGACAAGCCATAAGAGACTCTTAATCATAGGAAACAAGAGGGAAGGGGGTTGGGAGAATGGGGTAACTGGGTGATGGGCATTAAGGAGGGCATTTGATGGAATGAGCCCTGGGTGTTATATAAGATTGACCTCACTGACCTCTACCTCTGAAACCGATTATACATTATATGTTAATTAACTGAATTTAAATTTATAATTGTATTTTAAAATACTGGATAGAGGAAAAAATAAATAAATACTTAGCATTAATACCATTAACTAGTCAATGGTACTAAAAAACTGATCATTCTTACAGTATTTATAGTTTAGAAGCTCAGAAACAGACTTATTTTTAGATAAGAAACCTAACTGCACAGAAATTCCAACTATTTATATTAAAGCAAAGTCTGACAGGATTTCACCTTTGTGGCAACGTCAAATTTTAATTTATGATGCTGTAGAATTTTACTCTACTCAACTTCAATTTTACTCTATATTCCTTTTGTTAACCAAATGTTTCAATGCATAGAGAAGTTCAAAGAAAGGATTCAAGATAAAAACTCACGACTAACCTGCCCCACAAAATGTCTTCTTCTTACAGAGCTCCGACTGTAAAGCTTAATAAGAAAAAGAATTTCTTTTTCATTCTGTATAAGTGGAAAAATCATAGTTTCTCCCCACTTTACTCTTCCATTGGAGGCCTTCAGTAAGCGTGTCTTCTTCTTATAAATCAACTCTCCTGAACTAAACATTCCCACCTTCACAAAGAAACCTAAAAAATAAGAAATTTTGATATGTAAAATTTTATTTTAAATCCCATATAGTTATATATACTCACATATTATATTTGGTGTGAAAACATATAAGCCACTTATAAAGAGCCAATGAGTTATTGGCATAACAGAAAAAATGCTGATAGTAAACTTTGTCATTTTAATCACACTTTACAAAGAACTACAGTGACCTCCAATGAACAGACTCTTCCTCTAACCTGAATGCCATTAAAGACTGGAAATTGTAGGCATAAGTAATGGTCAGCAGTAGGGGAGTACACACTGAAAAGTATTACACAAAAGATAGGGGCCAACTCTTCAGAGAGCCAGAGGAATTTAATTCCCAATTTTATGCAGGTAAAGTTCTTTGATTGCAACTCCAGAAGTTAAACATATGCCTGCTAGAGAAAATCTATTCTTTAAATAAATTGAGATGGAGAGCTTCCAGTAATGATAGAATAGTTGTATAAACTAAGCTTCCCATGGATAACAATGATCAACTCTGGGGAAAACAAAACAAAACGAAATAAAACAAAACACTGTTCAAGACCAAAAGTGGGAAGAAACCGGAGGAGTGTCATGTCTTGCAAGATGGAAACTACACCGCTAACATTCAGGTTCATACAGCTTTCCGCCTAAGCATCCTCCCCTGTCTGACGGATGCATGGCACCTACAGCTCAGGCACAAAGTTGTCATGGATGGAGCTGGAGCTGCAGGGCAGCAAGAAAGAGAGGAGGGAACTTCCAGAAAGGAGGGAGCTGTAAAGTGGTGACCAAGGACGGACCATTAGATTCACAAGATGCAGATCATGGACAATCCCAATCAGCAGTTTTGATTAAAGAAGGACACCTCTTAACGTCATGAACTGCATCTGCAGACTTCTACTGACATCCTCGTTCCTCGAACTAACCTACTATGTAGTCCTGGTAATTTATTCTTTTCATGCCAAGTTGGATTTCATTTGCTTATTTTTCTTTTATGATTCTTCTATCTATCTATATAAGTAGTAATAGTCTATAGCTATTTTTTTCTATGCACTATCTTTTCTGTTTTGATATTGAGAATATGCCCACCTCAGAAAGTTACTTTTTCCATTGTTTCTCCTGCTTTGGAACAGCTTATATAAAATAGGAATTAGGGGTGCCTGGGTGGCTCAGTGGGTTAAGCTCCTGCCTTTAGCTCAGGTCATGATCTCAGGGTCCTGGGATTAAGCCCCACATCAGGCTTTCTGCTCAGCAGGAAGCCTGCTTCCCCCCTTCTCTCTGCCTGCCTCTCTGCCTACTTGTGATCCCTCTCTCTCTGTCAAGTAAATAAATAAAATCTTTAAAAAAAAATAGGAATTAAATGTTCCTTGAAAGTTTGGTAGACTCTACCAGTAAAATCATCTTAGCCTGGTGCTTTTATTAGAGGCAATTCTTTAACTATCTACACATGGTTAATCATTTTATTCAGATGTTCTCCCTCTTTTGGAGCAAATTTCAACAACTTTTTTTTCTCTGAAAATCAGTTATTATATATAGATGTTCAAATGAACAGGTATAGTTTTAAATGGTATTATCTAATTTATTATTGAATCCTTCTGGATGTGAAATGTTATCCACCCCTTTTCATGTTTTCTTTATTTTTTGCTCAATCCAACTTACTATAGGTTTGTCTATTTTACTCATCTCTTCAAAGAAAAATCTTTTGGTTTTATTGATTATGTCTTTTGCTGTTGTTTTCACAATTATCAACTTCAACTTTACCTGTAACTCCTCACCTCTACTTTCCTTTTTGTCTGTTGCTGTTTTCCTACAACTGAATGGTCAGTTGAACTGAACTGAATGGTCAGTTGCATTTATTTTCAGTCTTTGTAGTTACAGTGGACACCCATTGCTTCTGCCTGCCTCCCAATATCCTCTCTCCTTGTAGCGGAATGAGGGAGCACTCTTACCCCACTCTAGCCCTGGTAGAACAGATCTCAAATCCCCAGCTCTAGGAGAAGCCATGTGAACCAGGCCTACACAATACAAATTATCAGAACCCCTTCTTGTGCCCCACGGCCCAGGGAAGGAAAAGTGTTTCAAGGGTTGAGTTTGGTATTTTTAAATTTTTTTTTTTAATTAAGTTTCTAGTTAGCAATACATTCAATGAAGGGCAAACTAGGAAAAGAATAAATTTTCTAGGCTGGTGAAATATATCTAACAGTCCTCTGAAAACTCAACCTATCTTAACTGATGAGCTCAATAAGGAATGGCATCAAGCAGATAAAAACCAAGTGAACATGGATTAAAGTAGGCACAATGGCTGAAATTTGAAATCCAATAAAGTAATTTTAAGTTAAAAGGTAAGTAAGTTAAATAACAAAAGTAACTAAGGTTTTAATGTCCATTACTAAGAAATGCAGGAAAAACTACCTTTTACTAATATTTTCTAAAGATTCCACTTTGAGCCACGGATATACTTACTCAAAGCAAGAGGTGTTGAAGAGCTTGGAAGGTATTGTGCCTCGAGAATCTGTAACTGAATTCTGCTATTTACGGCTTGAAAACAAGTCCCCAGTTCAAGTTCTGCATGGCAAACCTGGATATCAAAAGAGTGCCATTTGTTAATTAAGAATAAGGTTTGGGGCTATTTCAAAAATTTAGAAATAAAGAACTACAGTTAGAAGAAAACACTACTTTTTTTTGACACACAAAGCTATGGTCCATAAGATGGTTAGGAGAAATGTCATGGATTCTGTAAATATGAGGTATTCACTTTCATGGATTCTGAAAATCCAAGTCACACCAACATATCTGATTGTTCCAAATCAGAGCAGTCAGAAGACAATTCAAATTGAAAACAAATTAAATTCCTAAGCAGCTGTACTAAAGAAAATGTCAGCAAGATAAACACCAAAGAAGCACACTTCCAAAAACACTTAAATGTATTCATTTGAATTATTTTTAAGAATACATGAAGCTCAATAAAAAGTTTCAAATATGAGAGTCATCATTATATTTTTCTAATCATAGACAATGACAGTAGGTGCTACCCAGCTCAGAAGAAAAAGGATTACTACAAGGAACAAATGTGTGGGTTAAGAGCTGACTTACTATGCTGAATGAGAGCCAGCCAAAGAAGAAAGCTGGCAAGAAGGGAGCTAGTGAAAGTGATGAGGCAGGAAATAATAAGGAAAAGGTCAAAGAAAACCGGAGGCAAACAATAAAATGAAGGAGAAACAGAGAAGGGAAAAGTTAAATTAAATTAAAACCTTTGTTGATTAAAAAAAAATGCTACTGTTCTTGGCATTTTATTTTTTTTATTTTTTATTTTTTAAAGATTTTATTTATTTGGCAGAGAGAGAGAGAGTGAGAGGGGGAATACAAGCAGGGGGAGTGGGGGGGGGGGAAGCAGGCCCCCTGCTGAGCAGAGAGTCCAATGTGGGGCTCCATCCCAGCATCCTGGGATTATGACCTGAGCCGAAAACAGACGCTTAAGGACTGAGCCACCCAGGTGCCCCATGTTCTTGGCATTTTAAAAAAGTAGATTAAAAAGGACATTACTTACTGTTTACAAAACAAGGAAACTATGGATAAAATTTTTTATTATGTTTTTTTTTAGGATTCTATTTATTTATTTGACAGAGCGAGAGACAGCGAGAGAGGGAACACAAGCAGAGGAAGTGGGAGAGGCAGAAGCAGGCTTCCCACTGAGCAGGGAGCCCAATGCAGGGCTTGGTCCCAGGACCCTGGGATCATAACCTGAGCTGAAGGCAGACGCTTATCGACTGAGACACCCAGGGGCCCCTTATTATGGTTTTGTACCCACAATGTATCATACTTATGAAAATGCCTAATGGTTACAAAACATCCCTTAGTGTTACACACCTGTAGTACTCACTCACACAAAACCAAGCAGTGTTTGGCAAAGGGTTTGCCATTTCTAACTTGCCAGTGTCATTTCAGAATTCAAATTACTTACTATGTTCCAGGATATTAATTTAGATCATGAGAAACTATTCAAAGTGGTTTTCAGTCTCACAGTCACCAAAAAATTAAAATTCTAATCAAGCAGCAGGTATACATTAAGTGTATTTTTAAAGGGCACAAAACTGTGGAAGATATAAGATATGATCTCTGGTCCTGAATAATCTATCAATTTTTTGAAGAAAACTTTCTGAGCCTTCCTTGAATTGTTGTTGAAAGTGAAAAGTTTTGCATAATTGGAGGAAAACCATGACCTGTGATGTTGGAGCATATCTCCTTGGCGGGAGTGCTATATAGTTGAGCTAAGAGAGCCGGTCCTGGAATCGGTGCTTCTGTTCAAATCCCGCCTCACCAGCTACCAGCTGGAGGAAACCAGGCAAGGGCTTCAGTGTGTTGGTCTCCATGGTAGGGATACCAAGAGCAGAGAGCTCCGAAGTTTGGTGCGCGCATTAAGTCACCTAACACCACCTCCCCTGTGTGGTTAAAGTGTCTTCTGCACGAGAACCTCTTGTACATTGTTCCACACAGAAATCTGGGTTCTCAAATAAATACTTCCATTACTATTTGTCAAGGTCAACAATTCTGTAACGAGGAAAACATGAGCTTACATGATAGTTCTACTGTTCACAGTGATATAGTTGTCAGTGTGTGAGTCTGGCTCTGTCACTTTCACAGAGACTACCAATCTTCCTCCTCGACACAGGAAACAAAGCCTACCATTTTTGCCTTAGCCAATAATATGAAATATTCACCCTCAGTAACATAAGTTCACTGGTCCAGTAGAGCTCCTAAGCTCTTCCTTCAGGCCACCAATCTTTTTGTATCCCTAGCACCTGGGACACAGCAGATATACAAATGTTGGTAAGACCTCCAATACATGACATTATTTGGTGGAAACTCAGCCATAATCATTCATTCAGATTCTCCAAGGCAGATAAGATTAGAACATCTCAATTCCCCAGAAAAAACCTTTGCTGAGTTATCTTTTGATACACTCTCCTAGTCTTTAAAGTGTTACTATATGAATCAACCACTTGAATAGTATATTTGTGCCCTCTGTAAAATGTGGTTGCAGATTACTCTCTACACCAAGTTAATTAAAAAAAAAAAAATGCAAGGTGACAAACTCCTGTCACAGTTAGAAATCAAATTTGCTATATTTCAACAGAATATAAAAATAATCTAATATGGCATGCTTTCATTCATCATTTATTCTTTCCTACCTACCTATGTACCAATATTCAATGCCAAGAATAAAACAGGCCCTTACTAAGCACAGTCAAATATAAAGAAAACAGATGGAAGCTAGAGCCTACTTTTATTTAGAACAAGTAACTGAATTCTAAGTTGTAATAAATGCTGTACAGGGAACACACTGGAGATGGAGACAGAAAATAATACATAAGAAATAACTATTAAAAATATCATTTTTGATTATAGAAATCTTTTGGGTTTTGTTTTTTAATCCGTAACTTAATTCCCCTCTAATTCAGTGGTTCTCAAGCCAGGCTTGCACCAAAGCATCACCTGGAAAGCCGAGAAGTACAGATGCTTGTGGCCTACCCCTGCCTCCCCTCACTCCTCCCACAAAATTCTGATTTATCTGGTCAAGATGTGGGCATGTTTGTCAAGCTCCCCAGGTGATTCTAATGTGTAGCCAGGGTTAAGAATCACTTCAAGTCATGTTAAATATTTTTGAAGGCAGGTAAAATATAAATCCCATATGAACTTAAAATCACATGTAAGCTTGACCTTACAGAAGCTTATGACTGATTTCTGTAACTGCTATCCTGACACAGAAGCTGCAGAATCAAATTATTAGGGATAGCTAAACAATTTCAACAGCTGGCTAGTTGAGAGAATTAAAATCAGTTCTCAAAATTCAAGAAGCAGTACACTAATCAAGTTCTTTTCCAAAACAAACTAACTAACTAACAAACAAGCAATACCCCAGCCGTAAGAACCTCCATTTTACCCAATTTATGGACAGATATGTAGCTTACTCATGATTAAAACCACCTTCCTAATCTTTTAAGGCAACCTCTGAGTTTGGAGTTTACGATTCTTTCTTGCTCTTTCTAAGTTATCAACTACTAACTTCAGGATTATTTTCCCTGACGTATGTAACGTTTATATAAAATGTACTAGGAGAAGATAACCCTAAGGTTATTTTTCAACAGAGAAGGCAAAGGGTATCTGTTATCTTTTATCAATTACTTGATAAAACAACCTTTTATCAATTACTTAAAAAGTATTATTTAACAATGACATCATCGTTATTACTATTTCTTCTTGAGAGCCTTCCTGATCCTCTAGTATATTCTAGAGCATTCAGTTTACACTCCAACCAAAACTCACCCACAAAATAGTTCTAAAAGTATAAAACACTTTCAACATTACATAACCACTATCACTTACAGAGATTTTTGAAGATGGCATTATATCCAAAGAGTATTCCATCTCCTGTGTGCTGAGAGTTCTGAGTGAGAGTGAGCATTCTCCGATGGTTTTCTTCCTGGGAGTCCGGGTTTGAATCTTAAATACAAGCCTTACGGTTTGTAGACTTTGGAGTTTAATAGCAAAAACAAAAGTTTCCATGAATTCGATAATCTAAACAAAACAAAACAAAACAAAACAAAAACACAAGAAAATAATTTTAAAAATGTAGATAAAAGGACTGAAAAAAAAAGATATGCTGATACAAAAGAAATGAAAATAACATTTTATAATGTAGGAAAGGAAGATTTAATTTTTTTTACAACAAAAAAATACTTTTCAATGTAACTTAAGATGACAATGACCATGAATTATTTTTCCAGAATTTATCCTGAATACTGCCTTCCTTAATTTCACAAATCATCCTTTTAATTACTAAGGAACTCAGGTCAATATCAACACCAAGTTTAGCAGAATATAGCTTTTCTACTTTTTGAAAATTGGGTTGTTTTCCATCTTTGGTTCTGGGGTATCTTTCCTGCTATTCACAATTTTTCAACAGTTAATAAGCGGTTCAAGAATCTCATGTGTGCTCTCTCATAAGTACCCCAAATCTAACCGTTCACATTAAGAGACTGGAATTATTTCTATTCTTTGTCTAACATTCTTCCCACCTTCCTTGGGCTTCAATTTCTGCTTCAGTGATGTTTGCTTCACCCTTTCTAACCTGGAAATCAGTCTCCTTGGAAAGTGCTATCTTTTCTCATAAGCATCCACCCCAGGCAGCAAGTCAGTGTTTTCCATGCTCAAGAGTATTTTCCAATATTCTTTTCATTATTCCTAATGTTTTAAAAGCCTTGGCTTACCATGGGCTCACATCTTCTTAACACTGGACTGATTTTGCTCTACACTTCCTTATTCTCTTTACTGCATTCTTTTGAAAAGGACTTTTTTTTTTTTTTTTTTTTTTTTTTTTGCTTTTTGAAAAAACGAGATATCTGGGCAACTAACATCAATATTTTAGATACTGGGGAGCCTGGGTGGCTCAGTGGGTTAAAGCCTCTGCCTTCGGCTCAGGTCATGATCTCAGGGTCCTGGGATCAAGCCCCGCATCGGGCTCTCTGCTCAGCGGGAAGCCTGCTTCCTCCTCTCTCTGCCTGCCTCTCTGCCTACTTGTGATCTCTCTCTGTCAAATAAATAAATAAAAATCTAAAAGAAAAAAAAATATTTTAGATACTGCAGCCACATTTCGACTTTTATTGTAATTGTTTGTATCTGTATAGTCAGAATAGTGTTTGAGAGCTCCCAACCACCAGCGCTCTCTTTTTCTCTCAGTCTCAGGATCACACCAACAATGCAGTGTACACCAAGTGTTCTTAAACGGAGATGCACTGAGCTTATACAAAAGCCACGGTGTGCTGCTCTACTTCACATTTTGCTACAGTAGGGGTCAACAAGTTGATCAATAATAATAAATTTTAAAAGATTCTGTGCAAGTTTTAATATGAGAACAATTTTCCCCAACTTTTCCTAAGTTAACTTGGTTTTATTTGGCAATCAAAAAGTGAAACCTGAGGCGCCTGGGTGGCTCAGTGGGTTAAAACCTCTGCCTTCCGCTCAGGATAATCCCAGGGTCCTGGGATCGAGCCCTGCATCGGGCTCTCTGCTTAGCAGGGAGCTGCTTCTTCCTCTCTCTCTGCCTGCCTCTCTGCCTACTTGTGATCTCTGTCAAATAAATAAATAAAATCTTAAAAAAAAAAAAAAAGTGAAACCTTTCCTATTTAATTCAGGAAGGATTCATCTTGAGTGTCAGCATTATAACCGGAGTTAAGATTTATTTCCATCTTGACCTTCTATAATCCATATTTTCATAAAGTGAGATACTAACACATGTACATCAATTTTGATTACTGCCTTTTTACTTACTAAGAACATTTTTCCATGTCCCTAAAAACTCTCCCTAAGGGGCACGTGGGTGGCTCAGTGGGTTAAAGCCTCTGCCTTCAGCTCAAGTCATGATCTCAGGGTCCGGGCATGGAGCCCCGCATTGGGCTCTCTGCTCAGCGGGGAGCCTGCTTCCCCCTGAGATCTCTCTGCCTACTTGTGATCTCTCTCTCTCTCTGTCAAATAAATAAATAAAATCTTAAAAAACACACTTAAAAAAAAAAAACAACTCTTCCTAAACATTATCTTTTATAGCTGCCTAGTATTCTATCACATGGTGTTATGGTCTAAATTTGGCCCCCAAAAAGATATGCTGAAGCCCTGATGTCCAGTAACTCAGAACGTGACCTTATTTGGAAACAGGGTCCTTGCAGATGTAAATGGTGACGTTAAGATGAGGTCACAGTGGAGATACAGTGACAGATGGAAAACAGCACGTGAAGATGGAAGCAGAGTGAAACCAAGGAATGCCAAAGACTGCTGACCATTACCAGAAGCTAGGAGAGCAGCATGGAACAGATTCTCCCTCACTGCTGCCACCTTGATTTCCAACTTTCTCCAAAACTGTGAGAGAGAAAACTCTGTTGTTCTAAGCCACCCAATTTGTGGTACTTTGTTATAGCAGCCCACAGAAACTATAATGCCCATGGTATAGATTCCATGAACTTTCTCAACTGTTCCCCTATATAAGACATTTAGTTGGTTTCCAATTATTCCCCTATGAACAAAACTGCTAAGAATACTTTATATATTTTTTTATTTGCATTTTAAATTATTTCCATGGAACACATTCCAAGTAGAATTACTATGTAAGGTGTATAAGTATTTCAAGACTTTGATGTGTTTTGTCAAAATAATTTCCAGAAAGTTCTATGTTCTAGAGTAATTATAAATTTTTTCCTAATTTTAATAAGCAAAGAAAGAAAGAGAGCAATATGGAATTTAAATTTGAATTTCTATAACTACTAGTGAGAGTAAATTTTTTTCACGATTATTAGTTATTTGAATTACCTTATTTTTAAATCATATGTCCTTACAGAAAACACCTTTCATTTGCATGGAAAAACACTAACCTTTCATATATGAGAAGACAAAAATGAAGATATATTTAAACTAATGGGAAATCTAAAATCTATAAAACCAAATTCAGGATCATAAGTCTTCCGAGTATAATACCTGGAAATACTTAGAAATTTATTACAATCATGCAATTATTCTTCAAAGCCAACGTGGGTTAAGAGGAAAGAAAACGAAAATATAGACATTTTCCTTTCATACAAGAAAAGTAGTCTCCTTAGATATTGTTCATTTTGTATATACTTCAGTGATTAAGGTTTTCTTTTTAAATGCTTGGATTAAATTAAATAAATAAAAAAATTTAAATAAAAATAAAATTTAAAAAATCTTTTTATTTTATTTTTATTTAAATGTATTTTATAAATGCAACATTGGTCAATGAACTACCAAGTATTTTTGAAGCACAAAATTGTCTTTAAAAAGCAATGAATATGTAGTTTGCAATTTCCCCAAAACAAAACACTTTCTCATTCCAATTCTTTACATAGTTTAAAGTGACAAATATGAATAAATAAATAAATAAATAAAGAAAAAGAAATTCAAACACAAACAGCCACTTACATGAGAGCCATCCTTTGCTGAAGATTTGAAATGCACGGGTTTGGGCAATGTCAGTGTTCCTTTTATAGAAATAGTAGGAGTGTCTCCACAATTAGAAGGCCAACTTAAATCTCTGCACTAAAAAAATTAAAAATACAGTTTAAATTTTACAAAGAATCCTAACAATACAAATATTTGATGTATTTCTTGAGTTAATGACTTAAATACAAGCCATAAAAGTAAATGTTAGTGTACTGAGAACTTTTGTTTCATCTACATTAAAATAATTTGACATTTAATGTTCCAGACAGCATATCAATTTCCTTCTTGAGGTTAAAAACCACAATTCCATCAGACCTACAGATTTAGTTTCTTTAGAGTCTCTTTAAAATACTGTTTTCTGCAGAATACTACAAAATCCTAAATTCCAAAGAAGGTATTGTCCATTACCCAGAGAGAGCAACAGATGTTTATAACGAAAACATTCAATTTTGTCAGAAAAGTTGGTATTTGCTAAATCAACTTACCTGCAAAACTGTGATCCAGATCTGCTCTACTGAAGAATTATAAAACACTTTCACATTCAATCTCCCAAAATCTCTTTCATCTCCTGACAGAGTAATTGTATCTGAATTGTAAAAGAACAAGGACATTAGAAATGCTATGCAATCCTTCTCATCCAATTATGCTTTGACACAATCTAATTTTAAGAGCTGAAAATTGCCATTTTTTTTAAGTTGCCACTTTAATTAAAGACAAAAATCTCACTTCAGTGTTATTATTGGAGTGCTAAGAGAAGACCTTCTATAAGAAGTACATTGGCTTGAAAACTTAACTCAAATACAGCCTGAGTGACTTAAGTTAAAACTAAGATACACTTTCCCAAATAACACTGACATGGCTTTAATCCTGGATGCTTCTGGAAGTTTCTGCAATAGAATACTTCAAAACAAACAAAAGGCACGTCACTGCTTTGTGTGGTTTTTTTTAAGATTTTATTTATTTATTTGACAGACAGAGATCACAAGTAGGCAGAGAGGCAGGCAGAGAGAGGAGGAAGCAGGCTCCCTGCTGAGCAGAGAGCTCGATGCGGACTTGATCCCAGGACCCTGGGATCATGACCTCAGCCAAAACAGAGGCTTTAACCCACTGAGCCACCCAGGCGCCCTGCTTTGTGTTTTTTAAAGATCCTTTCATGCCTGAACCCTAAAATGGGCTACCTGATGCGAGTATTCATATGCAGATAACAGATATAACCATCTAGAAGTTTTCTCTTTACCCTACCATATATATATTCAAATTACTATTAGGTAGAAATAATTTCCTTAAAAAAAGAATATAAGAAGAAGGCACTTTATTCCTTACCCAGGCTTCTGTTACTGCCCTGGGAATTTTTCCTTGAAGAAGAAGTGCTAGGCATGCTGGACCAGGAATCATGTCTCTAGAGATAAAAATTGTTCTTGAGTCTGCTATCGCACATCAAAATTTAAAGATTCTGAAGCTTAACCCCCAACACCCACTCTGGTATCAAACTGCATGCTAACCATGTTGACAGTGCTACTGGTCAGAATGTCCCTCTTTTAGATGGTAAAGAGAAAAAAAGCTTTCTGTCTATGTTACCAGGAAAATCTTCAATAGCTTACTTAGTCACATATGGGGAAAGCCTTTGCTGTTTGGAGTGTGGTTTTATAATAAGGAAAAAGAAATTACTGCTTATTGTTTCCTACTTGAAAGTACCAGTAAAAATAAGAATACATTTGGAAGTGCCTTGTTACTTAAAAACCTGCTATGTAGCAGTCATTAAAGCGTGGTCCCTCTGAACCAGCAAGATCAACATCACCGGGGAACTTGCTGGAAAGACAAACTGAAGCCCCCAGTGCAGAGCTACATAATCAAATACTCTGGGGGTATGATGGGCTGCCGGAATTTTAACAAGCTCACCAACCTATTCTGATACACATTCAAGGGCTGGTGCTCTGCAGAATTAATTCTGCGAGAAATTAACCCTACTGACAATTCCGAAGGATTATTTAGAATACACTTCCATTTTAATAAAATACATGTATATACACTCACATGGAAAAAAACCCCTTAAGTATCTAGAACAGTATTTTCATGTGCTTTTATTCTCAGTTATAGGAATACAGGTGATTTGTCTTTTTTACTTTGCTTAACTCTATTTTGTAATTTTTAATAATCACAATTTACTTATGCTTTTATAAGAAACTTTAAACATCAAAAAATAATTCTATTTCAAAAATAGGAGGATGCTGTGTTAATAGTAATGAGTAATTAAAATCTTATATCTCAATAGAAATACTAATTTTTACTAAGTAGGTAGCTGATTCAATAAGGAAGGTTTAATCAATAAGCACTTCTAATCATATCTTTTCTAAATTCCAAATGCCTTCAAGATTACCTGAGTGCATACTAACTGAGAAAGGTAAGATTCATTTAAAAAAAGAAAAAGAAAAAAAAAATGCCTTTTAATAGTCAGCTGAAAAATGTGGAAAAATGCACATGGGAAATGTTAAATATTTATTCTTCAGATATTACCATAGATTTATCTACAAAAGGTCTATACATGTTGTTTCTAATGTAATTCACACATTCCTCAATTTTTTAGCTTGCAAATAAGTTATTCTATACAATTTATATCAATAATTCACCTGCATGAACCGCTGAGATGAACTTGTAAGATCAAACATAGACTTGCTTAGCCCAGGGGAACTGGGAAGTTTGCTGGTCCTTAAGTCACAAACTACAAAGAAACATGGAAAAATTTCTTTTTATCAAAGAAGAAAAAACATTGGAATTTTACTTAATCACTATGAACTAAATCTCTATAGGAGTGCATCATGAATATTAACACAATCTATTGAAGAGACAAAGTCTTCTACTAAAGTTTAAATTTTTTTTTCGATTATTTTACTTTGGTTCAAATAGAAACTAACATAAATCAAACAACACATTTTCACAACTATATCAAATATTGAGCAGGAAAAACTCATTCTTTCTGTTTACATTACAATTCTTCATTCCATAGGAACACTCTAAGAGAATGTAGGTCTTCTGTGCTAAATGCAATTCAACAACATAATGAGCATTTAGTACATTAAAAAAATATACTGAATTCCATGTGTTCCTATATTTCTAGTTTATATTTCTAGTTTCCTTCCTAAACTAGAAGATTCCTTTTTTTTTTTTTTTTTTTTTTACACATTTTATTTATTTGACAGAGAAAGAGAGCAAGCACAAGCAGCGGGGAGTGGCAGGCAGAGGGAGAGGGAGAAGCAGGCTCCCCCCTGAGCAGGGAGCCCAACACCGGGCTCAATCCCAGGACCCTGGGATCATGACCTGAGCCAAAAGCAGACGCTTAACAACTGAGCCACCCTGGCACCCGAAATTAGAAGATTCTTAAGGAATGGAACTCAGTACATTAACCGTGTATTCTAAAACGGTGCTGAAATAAACATTTAAATAAATACTTCTGCCTTGTTTTTAGCACCTCGCCCTGAATTCAGTTGTTGGGATAGCCATATACATTAAAAACTTGAAAAACAGAATTTTGTGAATCACATATGTACATGAAAGTCTAAAATTGATATAGTGCTCAAATATTAAACTAAGAAAGTCCTATGATCATGCAGGCATTTTCTGTTTTCTTCGGTCATGTCTGTAATCTCATCATGAGTTTGTAAATTTATAATTTTCACTGAATAGAGCAGGAAAGAAAGAAGCTAATAAGTATCTGTTGCAGAGTTTCTGAATGGATAGAGGATACAGAAAAAAATGAAACTTTTCAAAAAAGGACAAATAAAATGGAACTGGAACTACCAATACACATAATTCATTAATCCTTCAATTTTCACATTAGATAGAATACCACAGAGATGCCATAACGTTTATCATATCACTTCTGAAGACTGCTTTTCTCTTATTTTTTTATTTTTGATAATTAGAATCCTCTCTTCTAGGGTCTTAGATTTCATTTGATTTCTACAGTTGTTAGAGAGAAACACGAAGAGAAAACACACAAAAAAGTTTTCATACCTGATCCGTACAGTCTCGCCGCTTCTGAACGAGGAGGAAGGCGCCGGCTCAGATCAGGTGAAATGTGCGGATACCTGTAGCACGGGTTGTAAATGTCATAGCCAGGTCCGTGCTGGGATGAACTGGAAAGTTCTACCTTTCGATCTCCAAAAGATGCTCTGGCAGATCCTGAAAGTAAGTGTTTCTAAAGTTTTATAATACACTTTTCTTGGAGTTATTAGCTAATGGCTAATGCAGCCAAGGCAGAGGGAAAAAATTTTTGTCTCAAATAATACCAAATCACATGTGTTTGAAATATAAAAAAAAAGCACACATTTATTGAGCTCTGCATGGAGTCTTCTGCCAGGGATCAGCTATGAGCCCTGCTTTCAAGACAGTCTGGTAAATTTTTGGCATTTTTCTTTGCCCCATAAACAATTCTGTATTTTGTGATCTGAGTTTCCTTTTATTTTTCTACTTACACAAAGAACACCCTTTAAGTAAAAAGATAATCATTGTTTTGATGAAGATGCAGAACATTTATAAAAACTGACAGCAAGCTGAGGGACACAGAACAATTCTTAATAACTCTGAAAGGACTGAAATCACAGAGTAATGTTCTCTAATCACAATGCAATAAAGTTAGCAATCAACAAAAAGGTGATTAGAAAATATTTATATGGAAACACAAAGGTCCTAGGATAACCAAAACAAATCTTTAAGGAGAAAAACAAGATTAAAAGATCTGTGCTACCGGGTATTAAGAACAGAACACTGGCACAATAAAGTAAGACTGAGCAGAACAGATAGAGACACACATAATTTTGTGGACATTAGATTTACAATCAATGTGGCACTGGAAAACGGTACAGAAAGAACAGTCTTATCACTAAAAGGTGCTAAGACAATTAGATATTGATATATATGTCATAGCCAAAAAACCTTCATCCCAACTTAAAACATTCACAAAACAGTAATTTCAATTGGATGTGGGTCTGAACTAAATATTAAAGGCAAACCAACAAAACTTATACACTTAAGTCAATGTATAAGGCAGTTTTCACAGCCTTCGAGCAGGGAAGAACTTCTTAAATGGAACATAGCATTTATCATAAAAAATTTTTAATACACTAAACTACATTAAAATTGACATTTTCCATTTTTCTAGACTATTGAAGAGGGTGCAAAGGTAACCCACAGTGTGGGAGAAGACATGTACAAGAAGCAGAACCGACAAAGGGCTCATGGCTAGAATACATCAGGAATTCCCACAAATCAGTAAGGAAAAGACAGGCAGGCCCACGTATAAATTGGCTGTAGGACTCGAGCAGACACTTCAGAAGAGATGCTATCCAAATAGCCAAAAAATATGAGCGGGTGCTCAATTTCATTAGTCACGAGGCAAATGCAAATGAAAACTCCAAGGAGATTCCACTGCAGACTCACCGGGATGGTCAAAATCAAAAAGCCTGACAAAAGCAAGTGTGGACAAGAGGAGCGCAACGTGAACTACCAAGCTTGGCTGGTGGGAATTATAAACTGAGGCAATCCCCGCAGAAAACAGCGTGGAAACTCGACGAAGGCTGAGCTATGCATACCCTGTGACATGACAGTGCCGTTCTGGGACACATACACGATTGAAATGCCTGCACATGTGCTCCCCGAGACTCGTACAAGCATGTCCGTAAGCATCATTATCCATCACGACCAAAAAATCAGAAAAAAATCAATGACCATCAACAGTAAAATGGACTGTAGTTTATACCTACAATGACCATCAACGGTAAAATGACTGTAGTTTATACCTACTACTAAAAGCAACTTTTGTATGCTGTACTGACACACGGCTGTATACCATGCCATTTGGGGTAAAAATGAATCTATTTTTTAATAAATACAATAAATATATTGTACAGATATTAAAACCAACTGAAGCTACTGACAACAATGTGAATGACTCTCACAAAAATGATGTTGAATGAAAGAACCCATAAACAGGAGACTATGCTAAATATGGCATTTCATTTACCTAAAGGTCAGAACACAGAAAAAATAAACCATGACATTTAGGGATATGTGCTTCGGTGGTTAAAAAAAAAAAAAAGAAAAAAAAAGGGCAGAACAGCAAGGAAGCAATAATCGTTGCAGTTGGGACCTGATTACTCTGGAGTGACAGAAAAGAGGGAAGAGGGAGGCGTCTGTGTACTGGGGTGATACATACATGTTTACTTGAGTGGTGGCCATACATGTGTTTTGTTTAATAAATTACGGAACTATGTATTTCTGCTTTGTTCCTTTTGTTCCTTTTTTCTACATGTGCATATTTCCTAATTAAAAAGGGTAAAACAGTAGATCAAATTCCTTCCAAAGTTCAGAATCGTGTTGGAAATAATATAGAGACATAAAATAAAGTTTTCAAGTATTTAAATTATTACCATCTTTTCATCCTCTTCATCCTATTTAAAATAGAACCCACAGTATAAACCAATACTTTCTGAATTAAGCTAACCCATAAAACAGGTGGCTTCATACTGAGTTCAGAAAAGAAAAATAAAATATGGGGTTATGAGGTGAGATCTTACACTTACCCAGTTCAAATAACTATGTGTGTAATCCAACACAATACACAGGCAGAGGGGTGCCAAGAGGGAGTTATGATGCCAGAGAGCTTTGTGAGGAGGCTGTACACCTTAGGAACTAACCCTTAAGTCATTCAGTGCACTACCACAAGTCTGTTTATGGTAACAAGGATACACTGTCATGAGTCGTAGCACCAAAGATGACTCACTACCTTTATAGGCTACACCTAAAAAAGAATATTCTGATTTCATTTTTCCTTAACAGAATTCCAATTTTCCCCTCAAATGGTATACAGTGATATCATTTTTAAAGTTCAAGAGGAACTTCTCTCAATTTACAGAACACAGTGCTATAAAACTAACATAGAGTAACATTTACTTTACACCTCTCAAAATATCTATTTAATGCATTCTCTTAATGGAAAGGTAGACAGATATGTGACAAAGCAAGCATGGCAAGATGTTAGTGACAGAATCTGTGTGTTACAAAGCAGTAAGTGACAGCAATGAAACAAAACACATTTCAAATACTTGACATAAAATGTCAGTCATTACTGACAGTGGTCGGCCCTATCTCCCCTCAAAATTTCCTTGTCAGCCCATCACTCATAGGCACATACACATACAGCAGGTACATGTCTGACTTCTAGAGTTAGACACCAAGAACACTTTCTTGACTCTAATAGAGTCATCTTTCTCTCCAATATGATCAAAATCAGATGGCTTTACCACATACTCACTGAGCCTATAATTTAAGTGTAAACCCATTTCTTCATTCATTCAAATCAAAAAGCAATCTGTTCTCCAGTGACCTAGTAAAACAGACAAAAGAAGAACTACCACATAACCAGGTAGGTATTTCTTATTTTCTGATTATGAAAATAATACATAAGATACCCTAAATGTTTAAGAATACAGAATTTATTAAATAAATTATCGTACATCTATATATTTAATACTACGGGGCCATTAAAAAGCAATGAACATGAAAACATGTTCACAATGTGTGACAAGAATAAAACAGATTACCAAACTGTTTATATAGTTTAATCCCAATCCTGTTAACAAGTACGAGAGAAAGAGGAAGACCAATGATCAGGGTGTGCTGTGGCCAAGAGCTTGTAAACACTGCTTTTGAGAGACACTGCTGCCATGCAAAACTAGGTGGTGGGCCAAGCATGGGGTTCCTCTTTCCTTGAAGAAAGAAGGAAGAAAGGAATGGAGGGGGTAGGGAGGAAGGAAGGAAGGAAAGAAGTAAAGATGGAAGGAAGATGGATCACTCCTACCAAACCCAAGTCTCCTGCAGATAACAACAGTACACTGTAGACCAAAAACAGAATGAACAAAAACCCTGAAGGGATTGGAGACTGAGCAGAAGCAGGGCATATTCAGGACAGCACTGACTCTTGGAAGAAAGGGAATGGCCACCTGTTTTTAATGACTGTCTGTTTTAGCACAAGCCAAAGTTGGTGCTGCACAGGGCAGATAAAATGCCAAAAGAAAATCCACACTCTTTCTGGCCTAAAGAACCAGAGGGTAGAGTTCAGAGCAACCACAGCTGCTAGAAAGTAAGGTGGGTATCTTGGAAAGGAAAAAGCCCCAAATTCTGTGAATAAAGTCTGCTCAAACATCTGGCTGATCCCTGAGCCACACATATGCGGGACAGACTCCAACTAAGGATACAAAAACCAAGGTGAGATAAGAGCTGCCATCAAAGACACAGAATTTGCAGCATAGTCCAACAAAATTCATCGCCTGGTTAAAAGAAAGAAAAAAAGGGGGGGGGACCCTCTTACCTCAGAGTAATATAATGGATTCTAAAGTGTCCATGACACAACATTCCAAACCCAGAATACAATCCAAAATTACTCCATACACAATGAAACATGGAAAGGTGACCCATTCCCCCCCACCAAAAAAAGACAAACCTTAGAATTCAAACCTAAATGACTCCGATGTTAGAATTAACAGAGAAACGTATTAAAGCCCAAAGACATAGAAGAAAATAGGCTTATGGTAATGAAAAAAAAAGAACAAAATCACAGCAAAGAAACAAAATATATGAGAAAGAACCAAATGTAAATTCAACAACTGAGAAATACAATGTCTAAAATAAAAATTCACTGGATGGGCTTAACAGCTGTATGACAGAGGAAAGAGACAGTGAACTTGAAAATCAATAATATCCAATCTTAAGGGTAGGGGAAATGGTGAACAACAAGCAAAAGAAGTCTCAGAGGCCCATAAAACAATATAAAAAGGTCCAACATTTGTCTAATTGGAGTCCCAGAATGAGAAGAAAGGATGGGGCAGAAAATCATATTTGGAAAAATATTCTAGATTTTGAAAGGAGTTTGGATTACAATGTTACATGCATTTGTCCAAACTCAACAAAAACAAACTCAAAACTGAGGCAGTTCATTTTGTATAAGGTTTATGTCGAAAGAAGAAAATTGTAAACAGATACTGAACTCTGATAAAGTATATATATGCTTAAGTATTCGGAAGGAAATGTATCAGTGTCTTCAATTTATTGTGAAATGTGTTCTCCACCCCCCTCCAACTCATAAAGGATTAATAACAGATACAGGAATCGATAGATAGATATGTGATAAAGTATGGTAAAATATTAATGATCAATTCTATGTGGTGGATATATGGGTATTCACTGTTATAGTCTTTCAACTTCTTTGTATGTTTGAAATTTTTCACAAAAAAATTTTGAGGGGGGAAAACATTGTGACAGTGTTTCAATGGACTAAAGCAAATTATTTTTAAAATACAAGAATTTCATGTTGTTTCTTCTTTTTTTTTTTTTAAGATTTTATTTATTTATTTGATAGAGAGAAATCACAAGTAGGCAGAGAGGCAGGCAGAGAGAGAGGAGGAAGCAGGCTCCCTGCTGAGCAGAAAGCCCGATGTGGGGCTTAAACCCAGGACCTGGGATCATGACCTGAGCCGAAGGCAGCGGCCTAACCCACTGAGCCACCCAGGCGCCCCACATGTTGTTTCTTCTTATCATCATAATTCCACTGGCCTCTAACATCAGCCAAAATCTACCCAATGAATCTATCTCACTCAAATGGCTATTTAGACTGAGAAGTTGCATATACAATGGAATATTACTCAGTCATTCAAAAAAAAAAAAGAAATCTTACCATTTGCAAGGACGTGGATGGAACTAGAATATTATGCTAAGCAAAATAAGTCAGTCAGAGAAAGACAAATATCCTATGATTTCATTCATCTGTGGAATTTAAGAAACAGAAGAGATGAACACAGAGGAAGGGAAGAAAATAAAAAGATGAAACCAGAGAGAGAGACAAACCACAAGAGACACTTAATCATAGGAAACAAACTGAGGGTTGCTGGAGGGGAAGTGGGTGGGGGGATGGGGTAATTGGGTGATGGGCATTAAGGAGGGCATGTGATGGAATGAGCACTGGGTGTTAAATGCAACTGATGAATCACTAAACTCTTTAACAATACACTATATGTTAATTGATCTTAAATTTTTTTTTAAAAGGCCACATCTACACTCAAATGTGCGTTGGTTGTGATCAGATTTCATAATGGGACCTTTCAAAAATATTATACATTAAGTTCCTCTGCAGAAAGAGCAAAAAAAATAAAATAAAATAAAATAAAAAGTTATACATAAAAAAATTTTAAAACTCTCAAGTTATAAAAAAGCAAAATCACAGAAACAATAGCATTTAAATGCTATGTGTTGATCTTTAAATCCTGCGTGTCATTTTTTTACCTTCAAGTTCCTCCAGATGTGACAGAGTTCCTGGTACCCTGGGCTGAACATATGAGAGCTTAAACCTGGGCACCACAAATGGTACGTCTTTGCCATCAGATGGTAATTTGGAAAGCAAGTAATCCTCAGTACAGCCAACCTGAGGCTTTACCGAAACAGCAGTCAATGGAGGGACAGAGACAGGGGTATCCTGAGTCTCTGAGACTGCTGCTTGAAAGTCTCTCTCCCTGGAAACTGCATGTAAAAGAAGAAAAAACAAAAGAAAAAAGAAAAATCACAAATATGAATGTAGAGTTATCTCTAATAATCTAAAGTTAGCAAACTTTGGTACTTACTTCATCATTTTAGAACAAACTGCTAATATAGAAACCTCTACGTAGTTTTCCTATCAAGCACTTCTGGAATCTACATTAATTCTGTCCAGGCAATATTTGAGAAATTAATATACTATTTCTGAAGTATACCAACTTATCATAATGGTAAAAGCAGTTTTTAAAGAAACTCATTCCCACAAAAGAGTTCACAGATGGAAAACAAGTTTATTTTGTAGTTAATTCCATGATGCTTTTAAGTAAAATACTGTCAACAAAGCAATTCTTGTTGTCAGTACTGGTGGTTAACATCAGTCTTAAATATATAAAAGAATTCTGAAAAGAAGCTAAAGGTCTCCAAGTCTACAAAAACTTCACCCAATCACAAAATAAAATGTATTTTTACCCTAATATAATGGCAACTTTCCCTGTTCTAGCTTCTGTGACCCATTTTGTCCCTGTCTCAAAGGCTGATGACTTCGGATGGGGATGTAAAGGACACCCAGAGTTCATCTTTATGTACAATTAGTATTGTCTGTTGACTTCAGAAATGAAAGTACAACTACTACTGTGTAGGAATTATGAAATGTTTTAATGCAAAAAGAAGCCTTCGTACTCACATATACTAGGAAGCTATACTCTAGATGAAGGAATACAAGAGAAAGCCAGAGAAAAATAAAGTTCCCGTCACAACTCAGAAGAGAGGAGGAGACCATGCAATTGAAAGGGAACTCTCCAGGAGTCCTTTATAAATATGGGGTCTTGATGAAATAATGGGTCTCCTCTCCGGTAGTCTTTCATTTGTGAAAGGCAGTTTTTTAATGCACTGTTCGTAAACTAGAAATCGTCTTTATTCAAATGAAAGCATTTGCCAGAGTATACTGTCCCCAAACACACCCAACACTTTTCTTTCCCTGCCTTTGCCTGTACAATTTCAGCCACCTCTCACACCCAGGTCCAATTTTTACCTTCTCTTACTTCCTTCTTCCGACCCAGCTGCCGAAATCCTCTCTAGACTCCCATACCAAATGCCATCCTCTCCGTGGTGATGTCCCATGGTGTCTCCGGGGTTAATGTTGAATTTATCTCTCTCCCTCCAGACTCCAGGGTACTTTAATACTTACCTACTATGCCTCTTATTTATGTTTCTGTCTCCCCCATGAAGTTAGGAAATACGTCTCACTTATCTTTATATTATAAAATGCCACAAATAAAAAAGACACTAAATACATGTTTGTTGAAGTCAAAAGAAGCCAAACTCACAATTATGCTTTTCTGTGTCACCATAGAAACATCCTCTACAGCAACTCTTTATAAATTCTGCTGCCATTACATCCAATTTCCAATATTCAGCAATTGACAAACTTCCAATTTTAGTATTAATCTGTTGGTAGAATAGAAAACAAGTTAACATGATCATGCTTAATGCCATTAGGTATCACTAAATAAGTCATATTATCTGTCTTTCTAAGATGAATGAGGAATACAAAGCAAAAATGTTTAGAGGAAGATAGATTTTTCATCTTATATGTAATTTTGTATGAGCCAGGCTCCTTATAAGTTATTAAAGTGACATACTCAAAAATCACTAACTGAACGATCTCAATGTTAAATCTGGAAAAAAAGAAGAAAAATTGGGGTGTCTCAGTGGCTCAGTGGGTTAAAGCCTCTGCCTTCGGCTCAGGTCATGATCCCAGGGTCCTGGGATTGAGCCCCATGTCGGGCTCTTTGCTCAGTGTGGGGAGCCTGCTTCCCCACCCCCTCTCTCTGCCTGCCTCTCTGCCTACTTGTGATCTCTGTCAAATAAATAAATAAAATCTTAAAAAAAAAAAAAAAAAGAGAGGGCGCCTGGGTGGCTCAGTGGGTTAAGCCTCTGCCTTCAGCTCAGGTCATGGTCTCAGGGTCCTGGGATCGAGTCCTGCATCAGGCTCTCTGCCAGGCAGGGAGCCTGCTTCCCACTCTCTCTCTGCCTGCCTCTCTGCCTGCTTGTGATCTCTCTCTCTGTTAAATAAAACTTAAAAAAAAAAAGAGAGAGAGAGAGAGAGAGAAAGAAAAATTCCACCCTCTGTTATGCTGAGCAGAATAAGTCAATCAGAGAAAGACAATTATCATATGATCTCCCTGATATGAGGAATTTGAGAGGCAGAGTTGGGGGCTTGGGGGGTAGGGAAGGAAAAAATGAAACAAGATGGGATTGGGAGGGAGACAAACCATAAGAGACCCTTAATATCACAAAACAAACTGTGGGTTGCGGGGGGCGGGGGGGGGGGGTAGGGAGAGGGTGGTTGGGTTGGTTATGGACATTGGGGAGGGTGAGTGCTGGGAAGTGTGTAAGCCTGACAATTCACAGACCTGTACCCCTGAGGCAAATAATGCATTATATGTTAATTAAAAATAATTAATTAAAAAAATTCCACCCTCAATTTTCCTCTTTGCCAGGTATATCCAAATCAATGCCCAAGCAAAATCTCCAAGAAAATATGGCACACATAAAAAGTGTGAGAAAAATTTTACTTCCTCCACATCAATTCTTTTGGAAATCCAAAGGTCCTATAATGGGGCCAATAAACAACTTCATACTTTATAAGTTGGTTTAACATTTAGAATTACACAAAGAGTATTACATACATTCACACACACTCAGATACCAGCTACCTAAACCACAAATAACAAATTTCCATAAATTGAAAATAAAGGGAGTCAGTTTTATTTTACTTTCTTTTTTTTTTTTTATTTTTTTTTTTTTTACTTTTTTTTTTACTTTTTATTTTTAAGTAATCTCTACACCCAACATGGGGTTTGAATTTACAACCCCAAGATCAAGAGTCACGTGCTATACCAACTAAGCCAGTCAGGTGCCCCAGGAGTCTGTTATAAATTAATCAGGAACATAAAATTGTTGAAGAACTTCACATCCAATTGCCCACCCTGGCCTCACTGACTTAATTCCAAATGCACTCTCTTCATTTATGCATACTTATACTCCATACATTTTTCATGGGAAATTTCAAATGTTTACAAAAGATGATAAAATGGTATAAGAAAACCCCTATTACCCAGACTAAAGAGTTATCAATTCATAGCAAATCTTAATTCATCTCTGTGTCCCCAGTTGTTTCTGGGATCTGTAAGTAACAAATCTTCTGACTTTACTTCTTTTGTGTGGGTGTACTGAAATGGCGCCTTTAATCAAATCAACCCCGGGGGGTTTCCAGTTCCCCAAAGCAGAAACTCAGATGATGAGGGAGCTACCCACCAACCCCCAGAGGTGACTTACACCTCCCCCTTTAGCAGGTCATAAGCTGCATCTTCTCAGTGTAATACCCGAGCTCTGCTTCCAAACACGGTCACCAACAAATTATTTGTCAAAATGCTGGACTTTTGCCCATCTGATGGGAAAGAAATGGTATCTCATGTTGTGTGTGTGGTTTTTTTTTTTAAGATTTTAGTTATTTATTTGACAGACAGAGATCACAAGTAGGCAGAGAGGCAGGCAGAGAGAGAGAGAGGAGGAAGCAGGCTCCCTGCTAAGCAGAGAACTCAATCCCAGGACCCTGGGATTATGACCTGAATGGAAGGCAGAGGCTTAACCCACTGAGCCACCCAGGCACCCCATCTCCTGTTGTTTTAATTCGCATCTCTTTCAGTGTGAAGGTGGGCACCTTTTCATAAAAGGCTAATCTGTATTTGTTTCTATGAATTCCCTGTTCATTATCTCTTGCTCATCTTTCTACAAAGCTATTTTGGTCATTTCTGCCTCAGTTTTAGAGGATTTTTATATATTTGAGAGATTAACACATTATCCATGATATTAAGTGGCAAACATTCTTCCAGTGTATCATTGCCTTGTTATGGTATTCTCTGCTGAGAAAGGAAGAGAATGTGTGCATATAAATAAATGTATATATAATATAAATATATATACACACAGATAAATAGAAACATACGAGTGTTTGGATACACACACATGTAGTTTTACTTATCTGTGTTTTCCCTTTTCTGGATTTGGAGTCACAAGAAAGTTTTCCGCATACATAGGTCATAAAAGACTTCACTCATGGTTTCTTCTAATACTTAGCACGGTGTTACTACCTTCTATACTAACAGCCTGGTATGCATTATGAGAAGTAGAGCCAATCCTTCCTTTCCCAATTGGCTATTCTGGTATCAAAACATCACCATTTACTTAAAATTCCATATTTTCGTCAATGATTTTAGAATGCTGTCTTTATTAGAGACTAAATTTCTATATAAAATTGGGCTTATTTCTGTATTTTCTATTCTCTGCACTTGGTCTGTCTTTTCCTGTACCACATTTTAAAATTATAATGGCTTATAATAACAGGCTTATGTATGTAGGAGGGCTAGCTCCCATCCCTACTGCTTTTCAGTTTCAAGGTTTTCCTATCTATCCTGCTTATCAGTTCTTGCAAATAAACTTCATAATCTGTCTAGCCCCAGGAGAAAAAACCGAATGGTATTTTCATTAGGATTCTGTTACATTTATAAATGATTTTAGAAAAACCTGACCTTCTTAAGATGTTGTGTATGCCTACCCAGAACATTTGTTCAAATCTGCATTTGTATCTTTGGGAGTTTTTACAGTTTTTTTCATATAAGTGCAGAACTTTCCTTGTTAAGTATATGTCCTTTATAAACAGCATCTTTTCTTCCATTATCATCTTGTAACAAATTTGTTTTAAAAATTTATACATTTTCAGGGCACTTGGGTGGCTCAGTTGGTGGAGCATCCAACTCCTGATTTTGGCTCAGGTCATGATCTCAGGGTCATGAGATCGAGCCCCCTGCTCTCAGAGTGGAGTCGACCTGTCCCTCTCTCTTTGCTCCTGCCCCAGCTCATTTTCTCTCTCCCTTTCTAAAATAAATATTTTTTAGAAATTTATATATTTTCAAAATCCCTTCTCAGCTCTAGTTTAAAGAATGCATTCTTCGACCACTCAGACTATATTAATTTCTCTCATTTGTAAACATCTAGTGAACTTTAAAAAAAATTTATATTTTTCTTGACATTTGTACCACTTGTTCTCTCTCCCCGTCTAGAATATAAACTTTTCAGAAACGATACATACTTAGTTTCTACTTCACACTTAGCACCCTATATGATGCTGGGAATATAATAGGAAATCAGCTATGTAGTTGATAGAAAAGGGAACAAAGCAGAACAACCAGCTCATATAAAAACTCTTAATAAATTCATCAAACCACATTTCTGACCCCAGTCAGCCTGCAAATACTTGAGAGGGCTGTGGGAGGACTGCTTAAAAAACGATTACTGCTTCTGGGGAAAAGGTCGATGACCTTTAAGATAATGAACTGGGGACTATGGGGGAGGAATGCAGTAAAGGAAACAAGTTTCCATGAATAAGAATAAAGCAGACAGAGTTTGTTTGGACAACTCCTAGAGGGCAGAAAGGTGTATGGAGAACCACAATGTCAGTAGAAGGTCCCACTCCAGTACCCAGCAGAGTACTGATCAGAGCATGTGTGCAAGCAAATTACAAGTCTGGGCAAAGACTACCAGAAAAGATTACAAAAACCATACCAACACCCATGAATGTTGGTATTAATGCCTGTCCCCACCAACCAAACTGGGAAACCACATAATTCACAGGATATTGGGTAGAATACTCAGAAGGGTCTGGCTTCCTCAGTGAGAAATAAAGAGCCCTAAATGCTAGTCTGCTTTCCACCTAACAAATTTAAAAAGCAAGACTCAAAAGGATCAAACCATTTTCAAAAAAACTATGTTCCAAAGCAAAAAAAAAAAAAAAAAAAATTAATAAAAATCTAAATAACATCCAGCACACAAAGTACAATTCTGGCATCTAATAAAAAATTCCCAAACATGCAAAAAAAAAAAAAAAAAAGAAAGAAAGAAAAGAAAAATCAAATCTGGGTCCCACCTAGAAATGACATGGACATTTAAGAATATTAAAACCATCTGACTGGCTCTATATGTTCAAAAAGAAGTGACATGAAAGATAGGAAAAAAAGACCCAACTTCTAAAGATGAAAATTACAATATCTGAGATGGAAAATACACTGGATGGGATTAAAAGCAGATCAGATATTGCCAAAAAAAAGTTTAATGAACTTGAAGATATAGTTAAGGAAATTACCCAAAATGAAATAAAGAACAAAGAAGAATAAAGACAAAAGAGCATCTGTGGCCCATGGGACAATTTCCAACAGCCTAATATACATGTAACCGAAGTCCATGAAGGAGATGGGGGAGGCAGAAAAAAATATTTGAAGAAACAATACCAACATTCTTCAAATTTGAAACTACCAACCACAGATCTAAGAACC